AACCACCACCACCACCACCACAAGAAACCACCACACCACCACCACCACCACAACTACCACCACTGCCACCACCACCACCACAACCACCCAGCACCACCACCACCACCACCGTCGTCCTCGTCGACGCTCCCCGCCGTCGCCGCCCGCCGCCGCAAGCGCCAGCGCCGCCGCCGCCAGCCGCAGGCGCCGGCCCGACGAGAGGGAGAAAGGAGAAGTAGGGAAGGGAGGGGGGGGGATCGAACCCCCCCCCTCCGTCACGGGAAAAGGGGAGGGGTGGGGGGGGGGGTCGAACCCCCCCCCCCTCCGTCCAGGGGGGGGGCGGGGGTCGGGGCCTCCACACACCCCCCCCTCCAAGCGACCACAGAACGCGCTCTTTCATACATTCATACATACATACATACATACATACATACATACATACATGCATGCATGCTTGCATGCATGCATGCATGCATGCATGCATGCATACATACATACATACATACATACATACATACACACATACATCCATACATCCATACATACATACGTACGTACGTACGTACATGCATAAAACAAGCATACATGCATGCGTGCATACATACATCCATACACACGTGTATACCTACCCACGTACTTACATACCACTTACATACCGATATATATATATATATATATATACACCTATATATCATATATATATATATATACATAGATATATTATATTATATTTGTGCATATATATATATACATACAGACAGACAGACAGGCAGACATGAATCCATCCATACATTCATGCACGCATGCATTCATGCATGCATACCTACATGCAGGCATATTTGCATGTATGCATGCATGCATGAATACATGTAGACACATACATGCATGCATGCATGCATGCATACATACATACATGCGTACATACATATATACAGACATACATGCATATATATATATATACATACATACATACATACATACATACATACATACATACATACATACATACATACATGTATACATACATACATACATGCATGCATGCATGCATGCATGCATACATATACATACATACATACATACATACAGACAGACAGACAGACAGACATACATACATACATACACACACACATACATACATACATACATACATACATACATACATACACACACATACATACATACGTGCACACATACATATGTACATGTACAGTTGTACAGATGCACATACATGAGTTCATGAATCCCGATGACCATCCTGGGCCCAGGAACAGTGCGTACGGCTCCCTGGACGAGCCCGATGGCGCATATACCGCGCCTGGGCCCGCGGCGGCCCGCGGCGGCGAATACGCGCAGATCTGGCCGCCATGAAGGAAGAGGACCATGTGTGAACCCGACCCTTCGATTGGGCATGTCCCATACGGGCAGATCTGGGAACAAAAATCCCACCAGACCTCTGGGCGTCGGTGATTTAGGGAGTTTCTTCTTCCACCTCTCCTTCTTCCCCTTCGGGGAGGGGTTTACCCCTCCCCCTAACCCCCTCCCCATGAACCTGGACAGGGGGTTTCGCGAGGTGTCGGAGCGTCCAAAACGGCCTCAGCGAGGAAGCCACACTCATTTGTTTTATTCGGGTTTGGGGCCCATTTTGGCCTCCTGAGGGGGGGGAAAGGACTACGTGTGAACCCGGCCCTTAGATTGGGCATGTCCCATACGGGCAGATTTGGGAACAAGATTTTACATACTGTAAAACCCAACCATCTGCAGTTGTGAGTGCCGCAAGTATGGGTATCGTATTCGGTGGAGCCCCCTTTATGGGGCCACGAAACGCTGCACTGGGTGGGGGGGACACATGCGAAGCTTGACACTGGGGCCTTCGGTGGAGTTCCCACGAAACGTTGCACTGGGTGGGGGGGACGCATGCGGACTTTGCCACTGGGGCCTTCGGTGGAGCTCCCTATGGGCCACGAAACGTGACGCATGCGGACTTTGCCAGTGGGGCCTTCGGTGGAGCTCCCCATGTGCCACGGAACGTTGTGCTGGGTTGTGGGAGACGCATGCAAAATTTGCCACTAGGGCATTCGGTAGAGCTCCCTATGGGCCACGAAAAGTTGTGCTGGGTGGGGGAGACGCATGCGGGCTTTGCCATTGGCGCATTCGGTGGAGCTTCCCATGGGCCACGAAACATTGTGCTGGGTGGGGGAAACGCATGTGGACTTTGCCACTGGGACCTTCGGTGGGGCTCTCCATGGGGCCACGAAACGGCGTGGTTCCCTATGGGGCCACGAGACCTGTACTGGGTGGTGCGTGACGAACGCGGGCGGTCCCAGTGGGGCCGTCGGTGAAGCTCCCGATGGGGCCACGAAAAAAACGCTGTACTGGGTGGTGCGTGACGCATGCGGGCGGTGGCACTGGGGCCGTCGGTGGGATTCCCTATGGGGCCACGAAACGCTGTATTGGGTGGTGCGTGACGCACGCGGGCGGTCCCAGTGGGGCCGTCGGTGGGGCTCCCGATGGGGCCACGAAACGCTGTGCTGGGTGGTGCGTGACGCATGCGGGCGGTGCCACTGGGGCCGTGTGGAGCTCCCTGTGGGCCACGACACGCTGTACTGGGTAGTGCGTGACGCATGCGGGCGGTCCGACTGGGACCTTCGGTGGAGATCCTTATAGGTTCACGAGAAAACGCTGTACTGGGTGGTGCGCGACGCATGCGGGCGGTGGCACTGGGGTCGTCGGTGGAGCTCCCGATGGGGCCAGCGGGTTCTTGGCCATGCGATCCCGCGCCACACGGGTCGCTTCCTTCATTCTGCGCTTGATGATGCGTCTTTTTGAAAAAGCCGCTTGACACTGCCAGGCAACCAAAAGACTCTGGACATGACGCGCATAGCCGGGATCTCGGAAGACAGAAGGAGCGACTCGCCGATCATCGGCGGGCGCCGCGGGCCGCGGAGCTAGAAAGAACAGCAGGCGCATGATCACTGACGCCGCGTTCGCGGAGTGTCTATGGAAAATCAGGCGCCGCCGCCGCCGCGGACCACGGCAGAGCTTCCCAACTTGGCATCAAGAGAAAGATACGATCAATATGGGTGAGTTTCGGCTGCGCCCCATTCGCAACATAATAAGACGGCGCCTCGTTGTCGACCACTGCGGAAAGAGCACCCAAAAAAAAAAAAAAAAAAACTGCTTCCACGCAGCCTCCTTCGCCCGAGGGTCGACGTCAAAGGCAGGTCTGCGACCGCCCATATCAGGCGCCCCGGGGCGCGCGGGCAAGGCCGCGAGGACGTTAAATTCTCCGAGGAGGACGATGGGGACACGAGCAGGGGCCGCCCCCGCAAGCGCGACGTCACAAGAGATTCTCGCGGACAGCCCCTGAGCCCGCGCGCGCGAGATGCCGAAGTCGCGCGCGCCACGCATGCCCGTGGACCGCGAGCGACTGAGCACATCGCAAATTCGAGACCCCCCGCAGCTGCGACAGCAGCTGGACCCCCCCCCCCCCCCCAGGGATCAACGCCCTGCGCCAAAACCGAGCCCGCTGCAGCGCCCCAGGGACGGCACGCGGCACAATGATAGCGACCCCGCCCGCGCCCCTGCGTTCGCAGAACGACGAGAGCGCAAGGTGGGGAAACTTTAACTTGTAGCACTCCTGCTCGAGCTCCCCGCGCGCGGCATGGATCTCGAAGACCGCGCGGTTGGGCCCACGAGTGAAACCAGCGACGTCGCCATAGTCAGCCACAGGAGAAGACTGCTCACATCGGTGAAGCACTGCCTGCATCCGAGCCAGATCCTCAACCATATGTTGGCGGTCACGTTTTATCGCAGACGGTCGAGCATCGAGCTCGCGCAGTCAGAGATCGGCGGCCTCATGCTTAGCCTCCTGCAGCACCGCTAACTTGCGCAGCGCCCACTGGGCATTGTCGAAGAGCTTCGCGGCCATGGACTTGGACGCGGCCGCGACGGAATCCAAGATATCTGCCCTGAGATCGGCCAACAGGTTGTCAAGCTCCAATTTGCACACTGGGCCCCTGCCTCTGTCGGGCGGGGCCGGGCGCCCGTCAGCGCCAGGCGGGGGCGCCGTGGCCAATGGGTCGTTGACAGAGAGAGGATCAGACAGATCGCCATCACCCAGCGCATCCTCCTGCGACATCGAAGCATTGGCCGCGCGGGCCTCCTCCTACTCCTCCTCCTCCTCCTCCTCCTCCTCCTCAAGATTCGACCTCTTGCCATCGGGCGTCTCCCCTGGCGATCTGGCAGAACCAGCGATGGCGCCCCGAGGACGGCGAGAAGCGCCACGGGGCTGCTGCGCAGAGGGCCCAGAAGAAGATGCCATCCCCGCAGGCACGTAGCGAGCGGGAAACGCGTCGCGGCTGCAAAGGGCGCGAGCGCTGGAACCTCACCCCAGCACTCAGGCACGACTAGAAAACACCGCTGCGCCCGAGGGGGCGCATGAATCATGGGCGCGCCTTTTACGTTGCTTGCTTTGGGGCCCTTTGTTTGCCTTTTGGCCTTCGCAGGGCCCCCCGAAAACCGCGCGGGTTTGCCGGGGGGGGGGGGGGGGGCATGAGCCATCAGGAGACCACAAACCCACGCCCCTATGTCCAACGCTGGGCGGCCGCCAAATTGACGCCCGCTTTAGAATCGTAGTCCCGCAGCACTCTGCACAGACTTCCAAAACACATAAACGCTGGACGCTCCGCAAGCGGCGCCCATTCATGAACCGAGACCGATGTCACAACGACGCCAACGCTCACGCAGTCGAACGCCAGGGGCCCAAGCACGGCAGCCTCGGCAAATACAGCACAAGGCGCCCCTGCTCTAGCAGGACGACGAGAACGTATGATGACGAATTTTAACTTGTAGCACTCCTGCTCGAGCTCCACGCACGCGGCCTGGATCTCACGCGGCGCTGCCACCGCACCACGCTGCAGAAACTGCCCCAAGCAACGCATCTTGCGCTGTCGAGTCTGAGGGTCGTGATGGAGTAGAGCACGCGAGTTTCACGATGCAGCTGAGAAGGGGCGCGATCGTTCTGCCTGAGCCCGCCATGAGGCGATGCGATCGCCAAATAATCCATCAGGCATTTTCAGATTAAACGAACCAGTTGTCGAACGCAACGAGCACAGCGTCCTCCTTATCCAGCCAGACATCAGTAATAAGCCTATGGTTCCACTCCGACGTCGTCGGCGCAGCTGGGTCGTCGGGGATAAGAACCCGCGCGGCGGGGGTCGCGGCACGGAATGCAATCCCTTGCGCTCGGCGGGCCCACCAGCGGCCCGGGCATCGGGTGCCCTGGACCAACTCGAACAGTTTCTTAGTTTGTTTTCCCCGGCGTAATTGCCGCGCATTTACGTCGAGACCGACGCGCGCGTCCGCGGGGGCGCCCCCAACATCGAGGGCGGCAAACCAACCTCCTTCCAGCAGCTCGAGTGTCTCATGAGCACGAATAACATGTTTCGCGGCCAGCCCAGGGGCACATTTGAACGCAATGACGAAGCGACGGGAGGGGGGGTCACCGACGACACGCCACTGGTCACGCTCGAAGCCCGGCCCCTCGAGCCATTGGCGAGCCGCCACCTGAGCACTGCCTGCCGAGACCGCCACCTTCGTCGTAGCCGCGAAGACCGCGCGGTTGGGCCCACGAGTGAAACCAGCGACGTCGCCATAGTCAGCCACGGGAGCAGCCTGCTCACATCGACGAAGCACTGCCTGCATCCGAGCCAGGTCCTCAGCCATGCGTTCGCTCTCACGTCCCATCGCAGACGGTCGAGCATCGAGCTCGCGCAGTCAGAGATCGGCGGCCTCATGCCCAGCCCCCTGCTGCACCGCCAACTTTCGCAGCGCCCACTGGGCAGCGTCGAAAAGCTTCGCGGCCAGGGACTTGGGCGCGGCCGCGACGGACTCCAAAATACCCGACTTGAGGCTGGCGAACAGGCTGCCAAGCTCGAACTCGCACACTGGGCCCCTGCCTCTGACGGGCGGGGATGCCGAGGCCTATGGGTCGTTGACAGAGGGAAAATCAAACAGATCGACATCACCCAGCACATCCTCCTGCGACTCCGAATCATTGGCCGCGCGAGCCTCCCTCCTCCTCCTCAAGATTCGACCTCTTGCCACCGGGCGTCTCCCCAGGCGATCTGGCAGAACCAGCGGTGGCACCCCGGAGGCGGCGAGAGGCGTCGCGGCGCTGCTGCGCAGAGGGCCCAGAAGAAAGAAGCCATCCCCGCGGGCACGCAGCGAGCGGGAAACGCGTCGCGGTTGCACAAGGCACGAGGGCTGGAACCTCACTCCAGCACTCAGGCACCACCACAAAACACCGCTGCGCCCGAGGGAGCGCACGAATACTGGGCGCGCCTTTTACGTTGCTTGCTTGTTGGCCCTATGTTTGCCTTCTTGGCCTTCGCGGGGGTCCCCCGACAACCGCGCGGGGTTGCCGGGGAGAGAGAAGCCATGAGCCATCTAGAGACCACAAACCCACGCTCCCATTTCCAACGCGGGGCGGCCGCCAAATTGAAGCCTGCTTTAGAGTCGTAGTCCGGCAGCGCTCCGCCAAGACCCCCAAAACACATAAGCGCTGGAGGCTCCGCAAACGGCGCCCATTCATGAACCGAGACCGATGTTACAACGACGCCAACGCTCACGCCAGTCGAACGCCAGGGGCCCAACCACGGCAGCCTCGGCAAATACAACAAAAACGCGTCCCTGCGCTCGCAGAGCGACGAGAACGTAAGAGGAGGAATATTTAACTTGCAGCACTCCTGCTCGACCTCCACGCGCGCGGCATGGATCTCCTGCAGCGCAACCGCCGCACCGCGCTGCAGAAACTGCCCCAAGCATCGCATCTTGCGCTGTCGAGTTTGAGGGTCGTGATGGAGTTGAGCGCGTGAGTTTCACGAAGCAGCTGAGAAGGGACGCGTTCGTTATGCCTGGGCCCGCCACGGGACGATGCGATCGCCAAATACTCCATCAGACTTGTCCAAATTACCCGAACAAGTTGTTGAATGCAACGAGCACGGCGTCCTTATCCAGCCCGACACCACTAAAAAGCCTACGATTCCACTCCAACGTCGTCGGCGCAGCTGGGTCGTCGGGTATACGAACCCGCACAGCGGGGGTCGAGGCACGAAATACAACTCCTTGCTCTCGGCGGGCCCCCCAGCGGCCGGGGCATCGGGCGCCCTGGACCAACTCGAATAGTTTCGCATTTCCTGGCGTACCTGCTGCGCATTTACGTCGAGACTGATGCACGCGTCCGCGGGGCTGTTCTCAGCATCGAAGGCGGCGAACTTCCTCCAACCTGCTTCCTGCTGCTTGAGTTTCTCATGAGCACGGATAACATGTTTTGCAGCCAGCCCAGGGGCACATTTGAACGCAATGACGAAGCGACGGGAGGGGGAGGGAGTCACCGACGACCTGCCACTGGTCATGCTGGAAGCCCGCCTCCTCGAGCCAAGGGCGAGCCGCCACCATAATACTGCCTGCCGAAACCGCCACCTTCGTCGTAGCCACGAAGACCGCGCGGTTGGGCTCACGAGTGAAACCAGCGACGTCGCCACAGTCAGCCACAGGAGCAGCCCGCTCACATTGATAAAGCACTGCCTGCATCCGAACCAGATCCTCAGCCATATGTTCGTGGTCACGTTCCATCGCAGTCTGTCGAGCATCGCGTTCACGCAGTCAGAGATCGGCGGCCTCATGCTTAGCCTCCTGCTGCACCTCGAACTTTCGTAGCGCCTTCTAGGTGTTGTCGGAAAGCTTCGCGGCCACGGACTTGGATGTGACCGCGACGGAATCCAAAATATCTTACTTGAGGTCGGCGACCATCAAGTTCGAACTTGCACACTGGGTCCTTGCCTTTGTCGGGCGGGGCCAGGTGTCCGTCAGCGCCAGGCGGGGATGCCGAGTCTCATGGGTCGTTGACCGAGAGAGGATCAAACAAACCGACATCACCCAGCACATCCTTCTGAGACTCCGAAGCATTGGCCGCACGCGCCTCCTACTCATCCTCCTCCTCAAGCTTCGACCTCTTGCCCTCAGGCGTCTCCCCAGGCGACCTGGCAGAACCAGCGATGGCACCCCGAGGACAGCGAAAGCGTCACGGCGCTGCTGCGCAGAGGGCCCAGAAGAAAGAAGCCATCCCCGCGGGCACGTAGCGAGCGGGAAACGCGTCGCGGTTGCAAAGGGCGCGAGCGCTGGAACCTCACTTCAGCACTCAGGCATGACCAAAAAGCACCGCTGCGCCCGAGAGAGCGCACGAATAGTGGGCGTGCCTTTTACGTTGCTTGCTTGTTGGCCCTATGGTTGCCTTTTGGCCTTCGCGGGGGCCCCCCGAAAACCGCGCGGGGTTGCCGGGGAGGGAACCCACGCTCCCATTTCCAACGCTGGGCGGCCGCCAAATTGACGCCTGATTTAGAGTCGTAGTCCGGCAGCACTCCGCCAAGACCCCCGAAACACATAAACGCTGGAGGCTCCGCAAACGGCGCCCATTCATGAACCTAGACCGATGTCACAACGACGCCAACGCTCACGCCAGTCGAACACAAGGGGCCCAACCACGGCAGCCTCGGCAAATACAGCACAACGGGCGATGATCCCACAACAGACAGTCATGAGCTTGAGCAACGCAAAACAATGTAAGCCAACGGTCCTGGACCTCCTGGCCTCTTAATTGCAGGCTTAGGCACAGTCGACAATGCTGCGCCCCACGCCTTGGCCACACAGGAGGTTCGATCGATGGCACCATTCCCGCCCCACCGAAACAGGACTCCGAACCTTGCCCCGCGCCCCAAGAGGCAAAGAAACAGTAAATATCCTTCGGTGTTTCAGATAAGCTTCGTGCTCTCACTTGTTCGCCCTTCCGACCACCCAAGACGGTCAAAAAAACCCACCAGATCGTGCCAAGACTCCCCAGAAAGCCCCCAAGACCGCCCAAGAACGGTCCACAAAGCCCCAAGATCGCGCCAAGACGGCCCACGAGGCCCCCGAAGAGAGCCCCAACACAGTCCTAGGAAGGCCGAAGTCGCCCACGAGGCCCGTAGAACAGCCCAGGGGCGCCCCTCGACTGCCCCAGACGGTACCAAGACGGCCCCAAAAGAGCCCCCAGACGAAGACAGCTCATGAGAGCCTCAAGACTGCCCCCAAGATGGAAGAAGACGGCCCAGCAAGCCTACGAGATGGTCACAAGATGGCTCAAGAGAGCGCCAAAACAGCCCGACAGGCCTCCCGGACGGTAGCAAAATGCCTCCAAGAGGGCCCCAAACCAGCCCCAGAGGCCTCTCCGCCCACCTCGTCGACTCGTGGCTGGGACTGGGGCGGGGCGGGGGGCGCGCCCAACATAACGATGGAGAGCCCAACGAGGGGGGGGAGGGGCAAAGCCGGACTCGCGGGCGAAGAACATACAGTCGAGTTCGACTCGCAGGAAGAGGAGGAGGAGGAGGAGGAGGAAAAGGAGGAGGAGGACGACGACGACGACGACGACGACGACGACGACGACGACGACTCGTCCGATCTGGATAACATCTTCCAGCGTCGGCGGAACCAGCCGCAAGGCCCTCGCAGTATACGAAAGCTGAGACTCCGGCAGACAAAGAGGCGCGACAGTTGGAGAACGAGCGCCGCCGGCCGGGACGAACACCGGCCTTGGCGAGCTTGGCCTCCTCGACCTGCTTGTCCCGCGCCTCCGGCTGCCACCCGTCCCCATTCCCCCCCCCCCGCATCTGGCAACAATTTCAGGAGCCCCAGGAAGAGGAGGAGGAGGAGGAGGAGGAGGAGGAGACGGAGCCGGAGGAAAACGCTTTGGAGTGTCGTTGGGCCTCCAGAGGCCCTCGGAGGCCTCCAAGGACCTCCCCGGATCGTCGGAGACCTCGGGACTCTTGAGCGAGCTGCAACGGCAGCCGCCACAGCCCGATTGCACGAGCTTGATCGGCACAGGGCGGCTATACGGTTGGGAAGAATGCCGTCGGGCTCTTGCGCAGACGCCTGATCCGTGGAGGCCTCGAGTCGCCGCGGGCCTCGCAGGACGCTCGCCGTTCTCAGGCGGCCTCCAACTGCCTCCTCCTCCTCCTTTTCCTCCTCGTTCTCCTCCTCCTCCTCATCCCCCTCCTGCTCCGCATCCTCAAGTCATCATGGTTGCCCGCTTCGTTTCATCATATGTGTCTCGTTCTCACGCTTCCCGTCAGCTCTCGTGAGCAACGTGTCTCAATAGACCGATGGGGACACTTTTTGCTCGCAACCGCAAGCGGGAAGGCCGCGCGCCGTCGTGGAAACGCACGACGGCCTAAAACACGGCCAGGACCGAAGCCAGGCACGACAGCGGGCGAGCGCCGAAAAATGAAAGCGAGGCGGCGGGCAGCTAGCCGGCAGTGGCGACCTAAATTATACAGGGCCAGAGCCGAGGCCGGGCGCGGGCGGCGAACGAACAGCGAAGAGGGCAGCTACGCAACTGGCCTCAAACGCAGCTCAGAAGCAGGGGACACCAGAGTCCAGGCCCGACTGTGACATCGACCTCCTCGACGAATCTCACCACGTCTACGACAAAGCGTATGCCAATGTGGGATAACAGCGCCGCCGTCGACAGACACTACACTGCGAACCACACCGCGAAAGCGGGAGACCTCGACATGCCACCAGGCCTCTGCATGCCGATGGGGATACTTGTTTTGATTCGCGGCCCGCAAGGAAAAGTCCAGAGGGCGGCCGATGGGGATACGCGAAGCGTGAAGAATCTTCGTAACCATCAATGTCATCATCATCATCATCATCATCATCATCATCATCATCATCATCATCATCATCATCATCATCATCATCATCATCATCATCATCACCGTCGTCATCGTCACGCACCGCCTCCTACCCGTCATCAACATCACCATCACAGCCATCAGCCACCACCATCGGCATCACCAACACCAACATCAGCATCATCAGCGTCATCATCATCCTCATCGTCATACTCATCATCAACATCACCATCATTACCGTCATCGTCATCATCATCATCAGCATCATCATCATTATCATCATCATCAGCAGCAGCATCATCATCAGCAGCATCATCACCACCACCATCAGCATCATCATCATCATCATCGTCGTCGTCAGCATCATGATCAGCAGCAGCATCATCATCGTCATCATCATCAGCGTCATCACCATTGTCATCATCGTCCGTCCGTCCGTCCATCCATTCATCCATCCATCCATCCATCCGTTCATCCACCCATCAATCCGTCCATCCATCCACCAATGTCTTCTCCCTATGAACAACTCCTCCCTGTCGCACCCCGAGACGTGTCAGCAGGACGGGCTGGGCGTTTCGCTTGAGACGTCCTCACCAAATATGATCGTGAAGCGAAATATTACAACAGATTCACGGATGGAGGGCGGGCCAATTGTTTAGCGCCGCGCACATTTGTGTTAAGAGGTTGCAAGAGCTTCACGGATGGAGGGCGGGTCGTTTTCACGATGTCGCTCTCGTCTCAGCACCGCGCGGATTCGTCACCAAAGATTACAACTGCTTGAAGGATTCCGATTGTTAACGAAACTGAAACGGTGTCTTGGCATGGTTAAGGATTGACAAGGTGCAACAGTCACGTTTGCTCGCGTTGTTGAATTCCAAGGAATGGTGTTCTGGCACGATTCAGGATCGTCAGGACGCAACGGGGCACTTACCGCAGAGAAAAATAGATGGTTGTGGAGACCCATGGAGAGGGAACTGGGGGGAGGGGATATTGCAACAGCGTTGATGCGACTTGGGTTTACACAAGTCCTCCTCCTCCTCCTCATCCTCCTCCTCCTCCTCATCATCCTCCCCCTCAGTTCTCATTATCCCTCCGTCTCCCTCCTCCCTCCCGCCCACACCCCCCGTCCCACCCCATTCCTCCATCCTCCCTCACAGCCTTCGCCCCCTCAACCGGTCTGCGTATCCTTGATCGTATTATGATTATGTTTAGTCCAATTCCTCTTCATATGATGGGAATTCCTCTTATTGGCATTGGCATTCCTATTATTGTTCTTCTGCAGCAGCATAATCAGCAACATCGTCGGTGTCGCCGTCGGCCTCATCATCATAATCATCATAATGATAGTAAGAATCAGCATCATCATCAGCATCATCATCAGCATACCTTCATCCTCACTGTTGATATCATCATCAGCATCATGATCACCATTATCGGCATCATAAGCAGCATCGTCATCATCATCAGCAGCAGCATCGTCATACCATCAGCATCCTGATCAGCATCATCTGCCGCATCAGCATCATCGGAATCGCCGTCAGCAGCAGCAGCATCTGCATCATCATCAGAATCGGCATCATCACCATCAGCATCATCACCATCGTCGTCATCCTCGTCGTCATCATCATCAGCATAATCGTCATCATAAGCAGCATCATCATCATCATCAGCAGCAACAGCAACAACAGCATCATCAGTGTCATTATCGTCAATACCACCACCAGCATCACCAGCATCACCACCACCACAAAAGACCACCAGCCTCGTCGTCATATCCACAAATTACCATCAGCGTCGTCGGTGTCGTTTGTGTCGTCGTCGCAAAAGCCATCACCATAATCATAGAATCATAACTTGAATCAGAAGCAAAAGCAGTATAATCCCCATCATCATCATCATCATAATCATCATCACGCTATCCCTTATCAAGCGTCCTCAGCATCATTATCATCATCATTCCATATCACAATCGTCGACAAGATCGTCACCCACAGCATTGCCGTCGGCGTCATCATCAGCATCATCAACAGCAGCGTCAGCATCATCGTCGGTGTGGTCATCATCATCATCATCATCAGCCGCAACAACAGCAGCAACAACATCATTACCTTCACTACCGCCATCAACACGAGGAACGGTTGTCGTGACCACCATGTTGAGCAGCGGCGACAACCCCAACAACAATATCATCACCATCCCAATTCCCCCTGCTGACCCAACCAGTCCTCTGGGCAGAGGTGGTTTAGAGGCCTTGTCCAACCTACCCCCGACTTCCCCGTCGGGGAGGGGCGCACACCTCCTCCCCCCTTCCCCCTGGGTCTGGACGGGGCGGATGGGCGATGTGCCAGAGGGTCCGCATGGGCCTAAGATGGCTCCAAGAGGGCCTCCGATGCGACAAGATTACCTCAAAGATGACCCAAGATAACCGAAGATGGTTCAAGGTTTCCTCCATCATGCTCCCAGGAAGCCCCACGAGGGCCACACCACGGTTCCAGGTACCCTCGGAGCCCCCAAGGACTCCCAAAAAAACACACACACACACACACGCACACACACACACACACACACACACATGGGCGTTCACGATGTGTGCCTTCTCGCATTGTCTATTCCGAATTGATGTTGGGGTCCCAAGGTAGCAGCAAGATGCACCACGAGAGAGCCGAGAGAGTCCCAAAAGTGGGCCCGAAAGGCCCTCAGGCCGGCCCCAAGAGCGCCCAAGATCGCCTCAAGAGGCTCAAGAGGCGATGGTGAGGGCGCCAGGGGGGGGGAGCACGCGGGAAGAAACCCCCATCCTTTCACCGATATCCTCCAAGATGTCCCCAAAGAGGCCCCAGGGGCCCCAAGAGGCCCCAAAGAGTGCCCCAAAGAGTGCCCCAAGAGGACCCCAAGAGGGCCCAAAGAGACTCCACTAGATCCAAAGACTGCCCCAAGAGCGCCCAAAGGGCGCCCAAAGAACGCCCCAAGGGGGCCTAAAAAGGAACGTCGTTCGTGTCCTCCTCCTCCTCCTCCCCCTCCTCCTCCTCCTCCTCCTCCTCCTCCTCCTCCTCATCCGCCTCTTCCTCCTCCTCCGCCTCCTCCTCCTCCTCTTCCTCCTCCTCCTCCTCCTCCTCTTCCGCTTTCGCTTCCAACTCCTCCTCCTCGTGCGTCTCCTCCTCATCCTCCTCCTCCTCATCATCAACATCTTCCTCCCCCTCCTCCCCCTCAGTATCCTCATCTTCCTCCTCCTCATCCTCATCGTCCTCCTCCTCATCCTCCTCCTCCTACTCCTCCCCCTCCGCATCCTCAAGTCATCATGGTCGCCAGCTTTGTGCCACTAGAGAAGTCTCGTCCTCACGTTTGCCGCCAGCTCTCCCTGGGAAACGTGTCTGATGCAGATGCGCGAAGCGTGAAAAACTTCGTTGGCATCAATGTCAGATCCATTAGCCTCACCACCACCGTCATCATCGTCACGCTCCACCTCCTGCCTCATCATCAGCATCACCATCACAGCCATCACCAAAATCATCCTCACTACATGCAGCATCAGCATGATCGTCATAACGGTCATCATCAGCAGCAGCAGTAGCATCACTATCAGCATTATCATAATCATCATCATAGTCATCATCATCATCATCATCATCATCATCATCATCATCATCATCATCATCAGCAGCAGCAGCAGCAGCAACATCAGCATCGTCATCATCGTCACCATCGTCGTCGTCATCCGCATCATCATCATCATCAGCAGCACCGTCACCAGCATCATCAGCATCAGCATCAGCATCATGATCATCATCGTCAGCATCACCATCATAAACATCATCATCATCAGCAGCATCAGTATCAGCATCAGCATCACCATCATCATCATCAGCATCATCATCATCATCGTCGTCGCCACCGTCATCAGCATCAGCATCGCCATCAGCATCATCATCATCACCAGCATCATCATCAGCATCATCAGCATCAGCGTCATCAACATCATCATCCTAACCAGCATAATTATCAGCAGCAGCATAACCATCATCATCTGCAGCAGAAGCATCATGAGCAGCAGCTTCATCATCACTATCACCAGCACCATCATCATCATCATCAGCAGCAGCAGCAGCCTCGACATCATCAACAGCATCATCATCCTCAGCAGCAGCAGCATCGTCGTCATGATCATCATCGACATCGTCATCGCATCGCCATCATCATAAGCATCAGCATCGTCATAAGCATTAGCATCGACTGACTCATCATCAGCAACCGTGTCAGCATCAGCAGCATGACCATTAGCCTCATCATCGTCATCATCGTCATCGTCATCAGAATCGTCATCAGCCTCAGCATTATCAACATCATCGTCATCATCAGCATCATCAGAATCGTTACCGTCAGCATCATCATCATCATCACCATCATCATCATCATCATTGTCATCATCATCAGCATCATCATCATCATCATCATCACCATCATTACCAGCACATCAACATCAGCATTAGCAACAGCAACGGCTTAATCATCATCGACATCATCGTTCTCCTCATCAGCATCATCATCACCAGCATCAGCATCATCATTATCGTCAGCAGCATAATTTTGATAGTCAACATTATCATCATCATCATCATCATCAGCATCATCATCATCAGCATCATCATCATCATCAGTATCATCATCATCATCATCATCATCATCATCATCATCATCATCATCATCATCATCCTCAATCATCACCACCATCATCATCATTCCCAGCATCATCATCATCACCACCACAACCATCATCATTCTCATCATCCCCATCCCCATCCTCATCCGCAGCATCGTCATCGGCACCATCATTTTCAACAGCAACAACAGCAAGTCCAGCTGCAAGCCGCTCTCGGGGGGGGGGGGCATCGCACAGTAACTAAGGATGCGGACACAGGCTGATGGGAAGGGGACCTGCAAAGGAAGTACTATAGCATCGTTGGTACATATTGGGTGTACTGGGGACCCTCATTCTCCCCCTCCTCATCATCCTCATCATAAACATCACAATCATCAGCAGTATCATCATCATCATCATCATCATCATCATCATCATCATCAACCTCACCATCACCATGACCATCACCATCACCATCACCATCACCAGCATCATAACCAGCATCATAATCATCAGCATCATCAGCATCATCATCACCATCAGCATCATCACGTCATCATCAGCATCATCATCATCATCATTGTCACCGCCAGCATCATCATCAGCATCATCAACAACAACCACAACAACAACATCACCAGCATTATCATCAGCATCATCAGCATCAGCATCAGCATCAGGATCATCGTCGTCGTCATCAGCATCAGCATCAGCATCAGCATCAGCATCATCATCATCATCATCATCATCATCATCATCATCATCATCATCATCATCATCATCATCATCATCATCGGCATCGTCGTCGTCATCCTCATCATCATTAGCAGCAGCATCAGCATCATCGTCATCATCATCATCATCATCAGCATCAGCATCATCGGCATCAGCGTCAGCATCAGCATCAGCATCAGCATCAGCATCAGCATCTGCATCATCACCACCACCACCATCATCATCATCATCATCATCAATCATCATCATCATCATCACCACCACCACCACCACCACCACCACCACCACCATCATCATCATCATCATCATCATCATCATCATCATCATCGCCATCGTCGTCGACATCGTCGTCGTACTCCTTCTCCTGCTCCTCTTCATCATCATCATCATCCTCCTTCTCCTCCCCATCCTCCTCCCTTCTCCCTCTTCCATCCTGCTCCCTGCTCCCCCGTCCATCCTCCCTCCTCATCCATGTCCCCTGCCCTTCTTCCCCCTCGTCCATCATCCCTTTCCCTCCCTGCATCGACGCACGCCGCGCCTCCCGCTGTCGCTGGTAGACCGCCTCCGACGGGCGCCGACGGCTGCGAGGCAGAGAAAGAGAGAGAGAAAGAGAAGAGAGAGAGAGAGAGAAAACAAAAACAACAACAAAAAAAGAGAGAGAAGAAATGAGAAAAGAGAGAAGAGAAAGCATATACCATACAATGCGAAAGCGTAACTATGCGGCAGAATGTGACTGGGAGGAACTAAAAGATGACATGCACGAGGGAAGTGAAACGATAGAAGCGAGAGGGGGGAGAGAGAGAGAGAGGAAAAAACTTACTCGGCGACGTACCCAACACTTCCCCAACCTATGACGAAAACAGACAGGACCACTCCTTACTGAAAACATGTTGAGGACCCACAGTGCACATGAGCTCCCACAAGTACACAATAAAACATGCAGGCCCGCGGGCCTCCGCTAGAGCTCCCAGGAGCCCACGAAAATGGCGACAGCTGCGCAATTCGCAGCCACGCAAGGAGCCGCGAGGTCCAAACCTGGACCGCGTACCACTCCACTCCGCTGGACCTCCCAGGAGCCAACGAAAATGGCCACAATCTTGCAAATCGCAATCACGCAGGGAGCCGCGAGGTCCCAACCGGGTCAGCGTACCACTCCACTCCGCTGGACCTCCCAGGAGCCCACGAAAGTGGCGACAGCTGCGCAATTCGCAGCCACGCAGGGAGCCGCGAGGTCCCAACCGGGACCGCGTACCACTCCACTCCGCTGGACCTCCCAGGAGCCAACGAAAGTGGCGACAGCTGCGCAATTCGCAGCCACGCAGGGAGCCGCGAGGTCCCAACCAGGTCAGCGTACCACTCCATTACGCTGGACCTCCCAGGAGCCCACGAAAGTGGCGACAGCTGCGCAATTCGCAGCCACGCAGGGAGCCGCGAGGTCCCAACCGGGTCCGCGTACCACTCCACTCCGCTGGACCTCTCAGGAGCCCACGAAAGTGGCGACAGCTGCGCAATTCGCAGCCACTCAGGAAGCCGCGAGGTCCAAACCGGGACCGCGTACCACTCCACTCCGCTGGACCTCCCAGGAGCCCACGAAAGTGGCGACAGCTGCGCAATTCGCAGCCACGCAGGGAGCCGCGAGGTCCCAACCGGGTCAGCGTACCACTCCATTACGCTGGACCTCCCAGGAGCCCACGAAAGTGGCGACAGCTGCGCAATTCGCAGCCACGCAGGGAGCCGCGAGGTCCCAACCGGGTCCGCGTACCACTCCACTCCGCTGGAGCTCCCAGGAGCCCACGAAAGTGGCGACAGCTGCGCAATTCGCAGCCACGCAGGGAGCCGCGAGGTCCCAACCGGGCCCGCGTATCACTCCATTGCGCTGGACCTCCCAGGAGCCCACGAAACCAGCTTGCGAGGTGGTCCGCGACCTTGGCGACAGCTGCGCAATTCGCAGCCACGCAGGGAGCCGCGAGGTCCCAACCGGCCCGCGTATCACTCCATTGCGCTGGACCTCCCAGGAGCCCACGAAAGTGGCGACAGCTGCGCAATTCGCAGCCACGCAGGGAGCCGCGAGGTCTAAACCGGGTCCGCGTACCACTCCACTCCGCTGGACCTCCCAGGAGCCCGCGAAAGTGGCGACAGCTACGCAATTCGCAGCCACGCAGGGAGCCGCGAGGTCCCAAGTGGGACCGCGTACCACTCAACTCCGCTGGACCGACCAGGAGCCCACGAAAGTGGCGACAGTTGCACAATGCGCAGCCACGCAGGGAGCCGCGAGGTCCCAACTGGGTCCGCGTACCACTCCACTCCGCTGGAGCTCCCAGGAGCCCATGAAAGTGACGAAAGGTGCACAATTCGCAGCCACGCAGGGAGCCGCGAGGTCCAACTGGGTCCGCGTACCACTCTAATCCACTGGACCTCCCAGGAGCCCACGAAAGTGGCGACAGCTGCGCAATTCGCAGCCACGCAGGGAGCCGCGAGGTCCCAACCGGGCCCGCGTATTACTACATTGCACTGGACCTCCCATGAGCCCACGAAAGTGGCGACAGATGCGCAATTCGCAGCCACGCAGGGAGCCGCGAGGTCCAAACCGGGTCCGCGTACCACTCCACTCCGCTGGACCTCCCTGGAGCCCACGAAAGTGGCGACAACTGCGCAATTCGCAGCCACGCAGGGAGCCGCGAGGTCCAAACCGGGCCCGCATGCCACTCCATTGCGCTGGACCTCCCAGGAGTCAACGAAAGTGGCCACAATCTTGCAAATCGCAGCCACGCAGGGAGCCGCGAGGTCCCAACCGGGTCCGCGTACCACTCCACTCCGCTGGAGCTCCCAGGAGCCCACGAAAGTGGCGAAAGGTGCACAATTCGCAGCCACGCAGGGAGCCGCGAGGTCCCAACCGGGCCCGCGTATCACTCCATTGCGCTGGACCTCCCAGGAGCCTACGAAAGTGGCGACAGCTGCGCAATTCGCAGCCACGCAGGGAGCCGCGAGGTCCAAACCGGGACCGCGTACCACTCCACTCCGCTGGACCTCCCTGGAGCCCACGAAAGTGGCGACAGCTACGCAATTCGCTGCCACGCAGGGAGCCGCGAGGTCCCAAGTGGGACCGCGTACCACTCAACTCCGCTGGACCGACCAGGAGCCCACGAAAGTGGCGACAGTTGCACAATGCGCAGCCACGCAGGGAGCCGCGAGGTCCCAACTGGGTCCGCGTACCACTCCACTCCGCTGGAGCTCCCAGGAGCCCATGAAAGTGACGAAAGGTGCACAATTCGCAGCCACGCAGGGAGCCGCGAGGTCCAACTGGGTCCGCGTACCACTCTAATCCACTGGACCTCCCAGGAGCCCACGAAAGTGGCGACAGATGCGCAATTCGCAGCCCTCTAAGGACGCAAGCAGGACGAAGGAGAGAAGGGAGGAAGAAGAGAAGAAAGAGGAGACAGGAGGCAAGAAGTAGGAGGCAGGAGGCAGGTGGCAGGAGAGGGGGGGAGGGAATGGAGACCACAGTGCTCTATTCAAAACGAGAGCCAAAAACAGGAGGGGGGGGACCAACTATATGTATATGTATGTCTATATAGCATACAGGTCAACATCTGCAACTGGACCCAAAACAACGAGTTGGTCCAATGTGGGCGCGAAAGCTATGGTGTGCAATTTGTGCTGTGCCAATATTGTGGTGCAGGCCGTGTGGGGCGAGCTATGTGGCGCGAGGTGTGTGTGGTGTGTGTGATCCTCCTCCTCCTCCTCCTCCTCCTCCTCCTCCTCCTCCTCCTCCTCCTCCTCCTCCTCCTCCTCCTCCTCCTCCTCCTCCTCCTCCACCCTCCACCCTCCACCCTCCACCCTCCACCCTCCACCCTCCACCCTCCACCCTCCACCCTCCAGCCTCCGCCCTCCGCCCTCCACCCTCCACCCTCCGCCCTCCGTGTGGCGCAAGCTGCGCAAGCTCTGCGGTGCAAACTGCACGCCTGGGACCACGGGGCGCCCGCGAAAGGGGCCCGCCGAGGCGCCCGCGCCCGCCCGCCAGACCCACCCAGCGCACCGGGGCGCCCTCGAGGGGCCCACGCGCGCGCCCACCGCGCGAGCCCTGGGCAGCCCCACCGAGCGCACGGGGGCGCCCTCGAGGGGCCCACGCGCGCCCACCGCGCGGAACGCTGGCAGACCAAGCAAGCGCACGGGGCGCCCTCGCGGCGCCCACGCCGGCCCGGCAGGCGAAAGCCAGCCCGCCAATTCCGTCGGCGACAGCACTGCACAGGCCCCGAGTGCAAGCAGCGTTTGGGAAACGAGCGCCTTAAAGCTGGCCAGAAAAGGGGACGCGGGTGGTAAGCAGACTCGGGCCAATGTTGAGTCGGGCGTACCCCCCTACAAACGGATTTTCGACGAATGATTAAAAATACGCAAAAAAAATTAAAATGGCCAAAAAACTACTCGGGAAATCGTCCCCATACTATTGTTTGACTATTTTTGAATATTCCTCCTGTAGAGGGACAGGCCCGAATTAAGGCCAAAGGCGAAGGGCACTTGGCGAGGCGAGGAAGAAACCAGCGGCGGCGGTTCAGCCAGGCTCCAGAATCGGAGTCCGCGGAAAAAACTCAAGTCCTTCAGAGGAGTGTCTCACACCTTGTGAGAGAACTGGGAGAGGCATCTCAGCCGCATCCTATCCCCTCCCCTTCCTCCTCTCCCTCTTCTTCTCCCTCCCCTCCTCATTCCTCTCCCCATCCCCCTCCTCCTCCTCCTCCTCCTCCTCCTCCTCCTCCTCCTCCTCCTAGCCCTCCAGGTGAGGTTTCACACGGCCAAAACACGACAGACTCACAGATGGAAGCCACGAGGAAAAAAAGCGCCAGCACGAGAGCTCAGGGCTCCGAGCAAAAAGAAGCGAGACGGTGCCGACTGGCAGCGGTACTCGGGGGCATGTTTTGGCGCAGCCCCGAAAAGCTTAAGCGTGAGTCTCGTCTTGAACATATACGCAGACGGCGCCGAAGAAAGAACGCGGAAACGCATCGCGGGGGCTGCAGCAATTAGTAATGAGCACCACTGTCATCACAATGCTGCTCCGAATTCTAAAATCAGCCACCGTGCCGCGAGGCGCGAAGTGGCATTTCTCTGTTCTCTGCACTCTGGACTCTGGGATCATAGTACTCGAAGGGCTGGGACCCCAAATTCTCGAATTTCAGTGGAATTCCCGCGCGTTCGTGGGCTGCCCCACATGACTCTTCCAGAGGCCAGATGGTCCCAAGACAAGCCACGAGGGCCCCAGAAAGCGCCCAAGAGAGCCCAAGAGGTCTCCACGACAGCCCAAGAGCGCTCCCAAGACGCCCAAGATGGCCCCGAGATGGCCCGAGAGGCCCCAAAGCAAGCCTCAAGAGCGCTCCAAGAGGAGCCCAAGAAGGCCCGCAGCGGCAAAAATCATTGATGGATTCCGCGTTCTTGCATTTTCGGGCTTCCGACGCTCCAAGATGGCCCCAGAGGCTCACAAGACCGCACCAAGACGGCCAAGAGGCCCCCAAGAGGGTCCAAGAGGGCCCAAAAACGGCCCAAGAGGCGCCCAAGACCGCCCAAGAGGGCTCCAAGACGGCCCCAGGAGGTCCTCCTCCTCCTCCTCCTCCTCCTCCTCCTCCTCCTCCTCCTCCGCCTCCGCCTCCTCCGCCTCCTCCTCCTCCTGATCTTCCCCGCCATCCTCCCCCAAGTGTTCCGCGAAAGGTTTCCACAACGGCTGGGGGAACACAGGTTCCGTTAGTTTGGGAGAGCTCTTGCCACAACGCTCGGTCAAATGGGCGATTCCAACAGGCAGGGGGCGGCGTCTTCGATAAATTGGGGGGCGCCAACCTCCCAAGCGAGCAAGTTGACCCACCCCAAGACCAGCCATGAGAGGGCGGCCACTTGCCCAGACCCTCCGGAACCCTCCAAGACCACTCATAGCAGACCCCCGATCCAAATCAGACCCCTCCCCTTTTATTCTGAAATTCGAAATCTGCATCGTCATCCTCCTCACCATAATCATCGCCATCACCATTGAGATCGTCATCCTCATCCACTGTCCTAATATCCCCCTCCTGTTGTCACCGCTCCTGTCCCCTTCCTCCTCCACCTCCTCCCTCCTTTCCTTCCGCACCGCCCTTCTAGGCTGGATGCATGGCAGAAAGCCTGCTTGGCCATCTCGCGCTCAACGAAGTCATCTTTTGCCTTCTTGTCGTTCCCCTGGGCCCTCTGGTTGGCCTTCCGACGGAGGGGGACCCCAGGAGAAGAGAGAAGGAAGAGCGGGAAGAGGGGGGAGGAGGAGAGAAGAGGGATGCAGAGGAGAAGGGCGGATAGGAGGGGGGGGGAGGAGGAGGGGGAGCTCATCATCCTTCCATGCCCACTCCCTCGTACATTCACATCCTCACTCCCTCTCCTCCCGCTGCTGTGGATACCACACCGTGGTAACTCACAAGAGAAAGGGGGAGGCAGCGGCACGAACGGGAACAGGGACCCGCAGCGAAAGAGTCTGCGCCCCCCCTTTCCTCGCGCGCGTGCCCGGGGGCGGCGCGCCGGGCGCGCCACGGTGCCCCAGGGCCCTGCGGACCAGAAAGCGGCGGCAGGGCAACGCTGGAGAGAGAGAGCGGCGAGGCAGAAGGAGGGGCTGGAGTATGCATTAGGAAGGCACCAACTATACACCAACACCGATCCTGGGCCAGGATCGGTGTTGGTGTATAGTTGGTGCCCTCCGATGCATGGCAACCGCAGCTCCTGCCTGTTCGTTTCGCTCACTCCTTCGGTCGTCTTATGGGTTGCCGTGTGCGCCGCCGCCGCTGACAGCAGCCTCGGGGGCGGAGCAAGACCTTCTTTACCTCGATCAGAACACCGAGGCCCGTAGCCTTCCGTAGATTTTGCCTTCAGGGGGCGTGCCTAAAACGAAAGGGGGAAAAAACAATACCGGGAAAGCTTTTACGCACAGCGCTGGCAGCCTAGCCGCCTCGGGCCAAGCCTCCGGCACTGAAAGCCACAAAGGCCCACGTCTAACAGGAAGCCGTGCTCGTCGTACGCCCTATAAAACAGGGCTAGGATCGGGATAAATCGCTCCAGAGCGTTCCGGAGCGCTCTCAGAGCGTTCCGGAACGCTCTGGAGCGGCCGCGGCGCCCAATACATCCTCCAAACCCGCCGATTCTCAGAGACTTCGAGCTATCCCGATCCGATTTTGTCCCGATCTTCGCGTCGTTTTACCCTACCCCTGCGCCCCTGTTCGCGCTGCGTCCCCGGCTCGGGGCGGGCCCGGCCAGGGCCGCGCCTTCTCCTCCTCCTCCTCCTCCTCCTCCTCCTCCTCCTCCTCCTCCTCCTCCTCCTCCTCCCTCCTCCTCCCTCCTCCTCCTCCTCCTCCTCCTCCTCCTCCTCCTCCTCCTCCCCCCTCCTCCCTCCTCCTCCTCCTTCTCTCCTCCTCTTACTCCTCCTCCTCCTCTCCTCCTCCACCTCCTCCTCCACCTCCCTCCTCCTCCTCCTCAATGCGAACAGTCGGCGGCCGTTCCAACCTCGCCGGCACGCCCCCCGAGCTTCGCCCCCATGGGGAGGAGGGCAGGCACACGGCGGCCGATCGGCAGCCCGGCCTGCCTGCGGGTGCCGCTGTCCAGACAGCCGATGGAGGACGACGACAACGGCGGCGTGGCGGCCTCGAAGGCCTCCTATCGGGTCGGGCGAAAGGGGGGGATAGCAAAGGGGGGGGGGTGAGAATCAGCTCACGTAGCTAATTTTCCAGGCGCCTCCCGGCGCCGGAGGCGGCCATGTATCTAGGAATGGGCCCCTCGGTGAGGCCGAAACCAGCTGCATGCAGCAAATTTCGCAACCCCCCCTTTCCTAATCCCCCCCTTTCGTCCGGCCCGATCCTAAGAGGGGCCAGGGCAGATGGGGCCCGGGGAGCGCACCGCAGCGCCGAGGCATCGCCAGTGCAGCGGCGGCGCGGGGACGGAGAGAATCGGACTCCCGACCGCGCCGCAGCACCGACGCATCGGCGATGCGGCTCGACCCCCCGACCCCTGGGGAACAGATGTCCTGGGACCCCAAGGGCAGTGCGTGGAAAGAAAGGAATGGGTCGAGGAGCATAACCCACCCAAGTGTCCGTGGGATAGAGCTGACGACGATGAGGGTTCTCCTCCAGCGGAAGGGTCCTCACCCTGGTGTCGGCCAACACCTGAGCCGAGGTGGCGATAGGAGAGGAAAGGATCAGAAGAGGTAGGGTACATACACATGGGGAGGTCTAGTCACTCAGATTTCGGGCCGTAACTCGGGTCTCTCGGGGCCATGTGGGACGAGCTGGGCACCCACCAACGCTCTCGGCGAGACGCAGCTGCTCGCACGCATCCCGGGCACGAAAGCCTCCAGGAACCAACGAAACCGCCCGAAAACGGCTCTTCGACAGAACTCGTCGAGAACACTCTTGCGTGTCTGGGAAACCGATGTCCTGGGATCCCCCAGGGGTCTGTGAGGAAAGAAAGCAGGAAGATACCAGTTGCAAGCCACACAAAGTTCCACGCAACTCATGCGACGAAGGCGTGACCGTGCTGCCGCCGCCTCTGTCAATGCCAGACGCATCCCCCGCGGGCCTGTCCCCAGGATGAAGGCTAAGACGAAGTCGCGACGAAGATGAATTCGGGCGAAGGCAAATCGAGAATCTCTGAGATCCGGCGGCTCTGGAGGATATATCGGGCGCCGCGGCCTCCTCAAAGCGTTCAGGAACGCTCTGAGAGCGACCCAGAACGCGCTGGGACGGACTTGTCCTCGTCCTAGCCCCCCATTCCGAGAGGCACTGCCCGCCGAGCGCTCACATCCGATCCCAGCCGTCGTCCTCTGTCCCCCATCCCCGTCTCTCTCGGAGGATACCTTTTCCTGTGCAAGCTCTTCGGCACCGCCTGGACCCCGCACCCTCCGGCCGCCTGAGGCCCCGCCCGCCCGCGCCCTGTCTCCCCAATTATCGGCTACACGTAAGAGCGACCCTGGGTAAGAGTGACCTTTGGTGCGCGGCAAAACGGGGGACGCGGGGTGGCCAAACCTGGGCGCGCAAGCCGCTGTTACCGCTTTGCGCTCAGCGATCGGGAGACCCTATTGGGCCCGCACCAAAGGTCACTCCGGCGAAAGGTCACTCTTACGCGAAGTCGAAATTAGTGCTTCGCGCGCCCCGCCTAGCTCTTGACCGTAGGAAGGCACCAACTATACACCAACACCGATCCTGGCCAGGATCACCCTGGGCCCAGGATCGGTGTATAACGCCCTCCTGCCTTGCGCAAGGAGGCATATGCACCGATCCTGGGCCCAGGGTGGTCCTGGGCCAGGATCGGTGTTGGTGTACAGTTGTGGCCCTCCGACGACCGGAAGAGGCCCGCTCTCGACCCGCCGACCGAAAAGCTGTCTCTCTCTCGGAGGGGGAGCCCGGAGCGCGCACCGCCGGCCCGACGGGCGGCCCGGGCGGAGGGCCGCCCGGGTTGGGCCGGGGCCCGAGGCAGGAGCCCGGAGGGGTGGGAGCCAGTCGGAGGTACGGGCCCGGGCCCTCGGCCACAGGCGGGAGGGCGGTTTGGGGGGAAGGGGGGAAGGCCTCTTTCGGCTACACGTAAGAGTGACTCTGGGTAAGAGTGACCTCTGGTGCGCGGTATTTTTGGAGGGCCGCGGGGAGGCCCAATCCAGGCGCGCTAGCCGCGACTACCGCTTCGCGTTCGGCCATCTGGGGGCCCATCTGTGCCCGCACCAAAGGTCCCATTCGTGGAAGCACCCGTGCTTCTTGGAAGGCGCGGGCCGTGTCATCACAGCAAAGGCCGGCGCCTTCTGAGAAGCAGGCTCCTTCTAAGAAGCCTTCCCTGCTACCCCTACCCCCTTGTGCCCACCGCCAAGACCCCCTCGAGCCATGGAAAAATCACTACGGGAGATGTTTCGAAGGATTGCAAAAAAACCCTGGGATTGCAAAAAAAAAAAAAAAAAAAAAAAACTGGATTGCGTTTTTTTTGCAATCCTGCAATCCTTTTTGCAATCCTTCGGTTTTTTTGCAATCCTGGGTTTTTTTGCAATCCTTCGACTTTTCGCCTCCGGGGACCCTTACCAGGCCTCGGGACCGTCAAAGACCGGCTCAGGAGGAGCGACCCGTCCGGGAGAAGGGGTCCAGACCTCTGGGGGTCGCGTCAAGAAAAATCATGGCATCGCAAAAAAAAACTTGGATTGCAAAAAAACCCTGGATTGCAAAAAAACCCTGGGTTTTTTTGCAATCCTTCGTTTTTTTGCAATCCTTCGTTTTTTGCAATCCTGGGTTTTTTTTGCAATCCTTCGGGTCTCAGGGAACCGGAGTCGGATGAGAGTCGGAACCAGGAGGACGCGTCCGTAGCTGAAGAGTACGTCTTCCCCCAGGGACACGCCTGGTCATGTTCGCCCCCGCCAAGGGCCCGGATGATGCACGACGCCTGTGCAAGTCAAGACGCAGACACGTATTAGGTACTGTTTCAGACCCTGAGAAAGTTGAGACCTCACCTGGGCCCACGGCAGCCCTCACCAGTCAATCAGTCAGTCAGTCAGTCAGGCCAGGCGCCAGCCACGGCGCATCGGCAGGGAATCGGAATGAGTTCGGTTGGCTCATAGACCCCATTGAAAAGAGAATGGCACGACAATGCGAAGATGCTGCGCCGATATGATGTACGCTGCGCCCATAGAATGTACGCTGGCCAATAGACAAACGTTTGTCCGTTTGCTGATCCTCCGCCTACGGAGTCTGGTTTTCAGAGTTGTTCAGTCGCGTCCACGCGTCCCCCGCCTCCCCTGACATCTGGCCGCTCCAATTTTTTCGACGAGCGGGCCCCAAGAAATCTGGACCACTTCCCCAGGGCCGGTTTTCGTCCTGTGTCGTGTTTCGAGGGCCCCATGGCCCAGCGAAGGCCCCCGGATGCTGCAAATGGAAAACGCGTCTGGTAGCAAAAAGGAAATGCGGAGGAACAAGCTAGAAGACGTGCAGCAAGAAAGGGCGACAACCCCACGTTGAAAAGGAACCGCCCCCCATCCGAGTAACTGTTGCACAGCTTGTCGCGCCTGCCAGGAGGAGGAGGAGGAGGAGGAGGAGGAGGAGGAGGAGGAGGAGGAAGGAGGAGGAGGAGGAGGAGGAGGAGGAGGGGGAGGAGGAGGAGGAGGAGGAGGAGGAGGAGGAGGAGGAGGAGGAGGAGGAGGAGGAGGAGGAGGAGGGGGAGGGGAGGAGGAGGAGGAGGAGGAGGAGGAGGAGGAGGAGGAGGAGGAGGAGGAGGAGGAGGAGGAGGAGGAAAAGGAGGAGGAGGAGGAAAAGGAGGAGGAGGGTCGCGCACGATCGCTCGCACGCCCGCGCGCGCGGGGCGGCGGCCTGGAGCACGCTCTTGTACTCCTCGCGCTTGGCCGCCTGCGCCGTGGCCGCCCTGGCCTTCTCCTCGCGGCGCGGGGCGCCCCCGCCCCCCAGGGAAAGAGGGGGGGCAGGGGGGGGGGGACGAGGGAGGAGGAAAAGGAGGGGGAGGAAGGGGAGGGAGGAGGGGGGGGGGAAAAGAAGGAGGGGGAGGAGATGGAGGAGGGGTAGGGGGGAGGACGAGGGAGGAAAGGAGGGGAGAGAGGAGGGCAGGGATGTGACCGGCCCGCGCCCGCGGCGCGGCCTGCGGAGGCAAAAACGAAGGCCGAAGGGGGGAGGGAGGAGGAGGAGGAGGAGGAGGAGGAGGAGGGGAAGAGGAGGAGGAAGAGGAGGAGGAGGAGGAGGAGGAGGAGAAGGAGGAGGAGAGGAGGAGGAGCAGGAGAAGGAGAAGGAGAAAAGAGAAGGAGGAAGAGGGAGGAGGGGGAGCGCAGAAGGGAGGAGGGAGGGGGGGAGGAGGAGGAGGAGAGGAGGAGGAGGAGGAGGAGGAGGAGGAGGAGGAGGAGGAGGAGGAGGAGGAGGAGGAGGAGGAGGAGGATGAAGAGGAGGAGGAGCCTTTTTTTATACTGGGGTGTAGCCCACCGGTGCAGTGCCAGCGCGGGGCATCAGCGGCAGCTGAAGAGCGAAAACAATACCCGCGGGCACCGCCGCCAAGCAGCGTGTTCCCAAGCAGGCGATGCGTCTCGGTCAAAATCGCCACTCGGCATGCGGGACGACCACCTCACCAATCGGGGAGGACCTCCACCCCTCGAATTTGACGTCCAGGGCGAAGCCTCCGAACCGAGAGGCAACTTCGCCCCGCTTCGTGGGTGGTTTCCACTCCAGAGATGGTCCAAACGGGCACGGGTCGACGAGCCGCGCTCGCAGTGCCCCCTGCAATCCACCGCTTGGAGCTGGGCATTATCGCGCGAGCGTGCTCCACACGAGCTGCAGAAGGTGAACGGGCCAACGCACCAAAGACGGTGGCCCACGGCAGGCCGGCACGGGGCCTGCCTGAGCGTCTTGGCCACCTTGGCCACGCGAAGGCACCTTACGCATCACAGCTTACCCGCAGACTGGACTATGTCGTGCTCTCCCGCGGGGGCCTCCTCATCGGCCGTGAGCCTCGGGGGCGGCCGACGTCGTTCACGGGTCTCGACATCCCGAACCGACATTGAATTGGCAGGAGCAGGGCTCGATGGCGGCCCGCGCTTCGCCCCGGATGGACAGCGCTGCCCCAGAAGCCGCAGCTGGAGATGCCAACGACCACGGCGCCTCCTGCTTCAACCACTCGAACGCCTGCCTCACGCCGCCCTGCCTGGTCGCACCCTTCGACCACTCGATCCACTTACGATAGCGTCGGCACGCGGCCTTGTCGGCAGCCCAGCGGGCGCAGGCACGGAAGTCGGCCTCCAGGCGGTCCAGGCCCCGCTCGCTGGCGGAATCCACCTCGCGGACCAGCTCGCGCCAGGCCGTCCACATCTCGGGCCTCGAGGCGGCGTTGGACGCGGGCCTGAAACGCAGCAGCCTGACACGCAGCGCGCGAAGCCGTCGCAGTCCATGCACTCCGCCTCGAGCTGCCTGGCGGTGCCGCCACTCTCGCACACGGTCCGCCAGCCATTGTCAATGGCTGTCCGCGGGGCAGGGAGCGCCGCTGCACCTCGCCTGCTGCCGCTCGCGCATGTTCAGCGTCGTTGTCACGCACTTCACCCCGCGCTTGCGCCCACGGCGCTGGTCGACCTCATCCTGCAGGCCGTGGTACTCCACGAGCTCGTCCTCATACAAGCGGAGCCACGCCTGGAACTCACCGCCCAGCAAACACCGATCGTCTGCCGTGCTGCGACGCCGCTGGGCCTCCACCCGCTGGACCCGGCTTCCCCCCACCAGGGCCCCGTAGTCGGGGGGGGCCGATGGGGGCCGATCACCGCGTTGGCGGGGATGGGCTTGGCCACGTGCATCGTCTGCACGGCGCGGGGCAAGGAGGGCGTGTCCAGTTCGCACATCACCCCCTTGCGCGTGGCCACCGACAGGTCGTCTATCATCCGCACCCCCACACCTGCGAGGCACCGACTCGCCGCGAAAAAATCGATGGCCCTCGCGCTCTTGCTGGCGATGCAAGTGGCATCGAGCTCCGACGCCGCCTGGACCACTCCCCGAACATCCTGCGGCCAGTAGGACTGGCCCAACGTGGACGGGAGCATCTGCTAGTCTCCACCGACGATGAAGGCCCTGTCCGCGGACCGCAGCACGGCGCCTACCCCGAACAGAATGTCCAGGTTGACGTCGTCGAGCTCGCGGCTCGCGAGGAGGCGCACGGACGCCAGCAGCAGCCCCTCCTTCGGCCCGAGGTCCGGATGACCACTGCCGCCACGTCCGTAGGGACCCGGCGCTCCTCGCGCTGCGTCGCCATGCTGGACCAGCTGTAACATTGACCGTCAGGACGTGGCAGCGTGAGCTGTGAAGCTTCGGCGGCTTCCGACCGCGCCTGGGCGCTGTTCTGGCGGCGCCAGCGCTGGCCCCAGCGGCCCCGGCGGAAGCGCCAGCGTGGGGCCCCCCAGCGGCCCTGCGGGGCAGGCTGAGAGCCGGCCGCGCACGCCGCCAGCGCGGGGGCCTGCAGCCGCGACCCACTGGGGCTCCGCGCAGGTGGCTCATCCCGGTGGCCTCGCCAGCCCTCCTGCCGCCGCCAGCGGGGTTGACGACGTCGGCGGTCGCAGCGGCCGCCGCGGGGCCTTCATGCAGCCGGCTGCCCATCGGCCGGGGCCGCCGTCCCCGCGCCTGCCCTGATGGCGGTGGCCGCCAATGCCTTTGCGATTGCCGCCTGGCGAATCCGCTGGGCCGTGGAGGGCGCGTCGTCGGCGCCGCCGCCCTTGCTCCGCCCATGGAGGAAGAGCTCCGTTCAGCGGGGCCGCCTGGGCTGCAACCACGGCCTGGAGGCGCGCCATCAGCAGGAGAAACCCCATCAGCCGCCGCAGGGGGCTGCCCACCGCGCGTCGGGGGCACCCCCTCGCCAAGTGCATCCGCTGGAACGGGGATGCCTGCAGCGCTGGATTGGCCGCCCGCTGCCGCCGCGCCCGCGGCACCCCCCCCTGCGGCAGGAGAGCGCCGCCGCCGCTTCGTCGCGAGCCGCTCCTGCATGACCTTGACCTCCTGGCGCTTCCGCTCGAGCTCCTGAGCCACTGGACCGAAGCGGGACTGGGCCGCCGTGCGGAGCTGCTCCTGGAGCTGGGCCTCGAGCTGCTGGTAGGCCTCGCGCTCGCCGGGCTCGATGTTCAGATCGCCCATGTCGAACGCGTCGCCATCGCGCAGCTCTGGCACCTCGCCCTTGCACAGCGCGGAGAGGTCGAGGCCCGCCCGAGGGGGGCGGCGGCGGGGGCAGGCGCTGTGGCCGCGGGCCGGCCAGCCTTGGCGCGCGCGGCCTCCAGCGCGGCGTCGAGGCCCCGCTTGATCTCTCGGCCCAGGACAGCTGCAGCCACTCCTCGGCCTCGACCACGCGCTGCACTGCATCGTTGAAGGCCGCCTCCGCCCTGCGCAGTCGGACACTGGCGCTGGAGGCTTCCTCCTGGAGGAGCTTGGCTCGCGGAGTCTGGGGAGGCGCGGCAGGGGCGAGCGAGGCCTCGAGCTGCTCGACGGACGCCCGCTGCTCTGGGTCCAACGATCCGCGAGCTGCGCCAGCAGCTCCTGGACGTTTGGCCCCCCCGGCTTCGCCACCGAGCCATCCGAGAGGGCCAGCCTGACGCTGCGGTCGCGCGCCCCAGGGGGCTTGCGGACGCCCGACGACTGGGCGCGCCACGCGGCCCCCGCCCGGCCGCCATCGTCGCGCCGCGGTCCCCAGACCTTCGGCCCAAGCGCGCGGCTGCACTTGTAGCACTCCTCGCGCGAGGCGCAGTTCCAGCCGCACCCACATGCTGTACACTTGCGGAAATCAATCATTTTGGTTGGTCTTTCCGCACGCGGGCGGCTGCCACCATGCCTAGCTCCCCGACCGCTGCGGCCATTGTCGCCCATCGACAATCTGTGGAGCGCGGGAGAAAGCGTCTGCGTACACGGTGGTGCCCGAGAAGCGTCTGCGTTGGCAAGAGGAGCGCCCACGACAGCACGAGGGCTCGTCGTGGAGATTGTGAGAGACAGTAGCCTGCCGTGGGGCAGCTCGCCTCGAGCCAGCCCCTCGGCTGCAGGCATGCACGAAGCCGCAGAACCACGGTTTCGTACTTGAGCCAAAATGGTTTGAGCCAGAATGGCTACGGGGAGGAGGAGGAGGAGGAGGAGGAGGAGGAGGAGGAGGAGGAGGAGGAGGAGGAGGAGGAGGAGGAGGAGGGAGGAGGGGAGGAGGACGAGGGGGAGGACAAGGAGGACAAGGAGGACAAGGAGGAGGAGAAGAGGGGGAGGAGAGAGGAGGAGGGAAGAAGAAGAAGGAGGACGCCGAGGAGGAGGAGGAGGAGGAGGAGGAGGAGGAGGAGGAGGAGGAGGAGGAGGAGGAGGAGGAGAGCGCTGAGCGTGCTGACAACATGGGGAGGGGCCCCCTCTCCGAAGGGCAGCGTCCACATACCAATCGGTAGGCCCCTCAGGGCAACGGGGTGCCCCCCCTTCTCCAAAGTCCGAGCGAACTCCCAAACTGAGGAGGGGGACTCACAGGGCCCACCAGGGCAGGCGAGGGGACACCGCACGCCCAGGCGACCTTGCCCAGCAGGCCTACACCAGGCGGGTGCGGGGGAGCAGGGCCGGGGGGGGCACGACGCGCTACTCCCCTGCGGAGCAGGACGGCTACCTCGGGGCGTGACTGGGTCGTCTCGGCCTCGCGGACGCGCTCGACCCTCCCACCAGCGGCGCCCCTGGGCGCGCAAGCTCCCCTTCGAGCACCCGCTGCCCCCAGCCCTGCCACCGCCCCCCAGCCTGATCAGGACTAGCGCATCGGAAGCAGCGAGCAGCAATGCCGAGCCCGACTTCTGGCGCGCGTGGACCGCCCAGCACGCCCCCGCCAGGGCTCCGGCACCCCGGGGGCCAAAGCCCGCCGCGGCCGCCGATAGAGCCGTCGATGTCGATCCTGCCCCGAC